TTTTGTGTGTTTAATTTCAGATTTATAATGGTATGGCGTGTTGGTGGGATACAAATGGGGAAAAAAATGCCGTATTATTTATATGAACAACGAAAGCAGCTCTGATTTATTTTCTGTTAGGATTTCCGTGGCAAAATGAACTCGATTTTGGAAAACGAAGTGCGTGCGCTGCCATGCGGAGAAAATTCCCACCATTACGCGAATGACAAATGGTCCGGCGCAGCGAGGAAATATGACGAGTCCTGCCCATTTCACGCTCTTTTGTCGAAAGTAAATTATTATCGGTGCGTACCCCTTCTAGAAATCATTTTATTTAATTGCGTGGCTTCGAACGAAAGTCCCCAACAGCGCCGGAAGAGTTCAAAGATCACGTTTTACGGCTTTAAATTAATTAACATAATCATATTTTGAGCGTCGCGTCAATTCTGAAAGAAAAATGTATCCTTTATTGAATGCACTCTCCTCTCTCTGAATTGTATACATTGTTGTCATGAATGTGCATTGCGCTCTCGCGTATTAAATCTTGTGACGGCGCTTGTGCTGCTCTCTCGAGCGCCCCGTTACGTTTTGTATGTTCTCCCGGCGCTTTGATAAATCATGCCCATTTCTTTGGATACAAAGTAATCCTGGCAGCCGCGCTCTTCCTCTTGCATTATCATTATTCCTGCATTGTGTACTTTCCCTCCCTTTCTTTCCTCTCTCGTCTACCAAACAGACACACTGATGATAAAAGCAGGAACTCAGAATCATTTGTATGCAAGTACGCCATCTCCGTCTCTGACGCTTTATTGTTCGCCGAGGGGTCCGGCCAGAAATTATAATCAAATTTATATTTAATGATTCTTACTACATTCCTGCCATAAAATTAAAATCCTACGCTAATTCTTTCCACGGTCTTTTGCAATCAGTGAAAAAAAACAATCCTAATTTAGCACGTCATTAGCAATAATTTGCATAAAATTCTCAACAGTGAATTGCTTGTTAATTGGAGGGAGTGTTGAATGGCCTTTTTATTGTTAGCTGAATGCAGCGATTATGCTAAAAGGGTTAGGTAAACAAAACAAACACTCGGGAAACAGGCTCAAAGGCGCCGCTCCTCTCTGGCTCCTTATGATGCTGTTTGCATCACCTTACTCGGATGTGAGGGACCTCATTGTTTTTGGGTCAAAGTGGGTGGTCCAGCTGATGCGAAGCCGCAGGTCAAAAGGTCGCCGCACTTACTTACGCCTGAGAAAAGCCGACCGAGTTTATCTGATGGCGGTAAATTGTTTATGAGCACTTTTTATTGAGCGCTCTGATATCAATTGCTAGCGGCCTTTGGATTAAGGAAAGTGATTGAGTGTCGGTTGTAAACGTCCAACTGCATGGGTGTTTTAATTAAGGATCAAAGTGCCACGGAGCTTTTGAAATTTGAGCCCATAAATTTTTATTTTCTAGCAGACTCTAAAGTTTTTAAATCCATGTTGTAAAAAGTAGGAAAATGCAAAACAGATGCAGTTATATTTTAAATTAAATTTGTGTTTGGAAGTCTGTCATGTAAGCTTCATACCGCACGCCAACGTGACAAATTAATTAATAACATCCTCAGACAGAGCGGAATCAAAAGCCGCATGACAGCCGCTTTTAAACATTTTGACGTCTTTTCATTTTCATTCTTCGTCCATTGTAAATCCCGCAGCACGACCAAACAAACAAATTCATTACGCAATAATGGAATGGAGGTGGATCAACCGACAGATTCACACTCACTCCAAGTTTTATTATTCCCCAATGTCCATTATTTCTCTTTGTTTATTCTGATGTTAACATCGCGCCTGACGTGTTATTTTATGTAAAAATAGCCCGCGCTACGTCGGCGCTGCGCCGGTTGCATAACTTGAGACAGATTCACCTGAGCTGAAAGCGTTGAAAGACACGCGGTGGAGCACTATATGACTATAAGGTTTGTAGCTCAGAGCTTAGTTCTGTTCTTACAATCACCTGGGTTGGTGGAATTTAAGCAACGAAAACGAATTTACAAAAGAATATTGCGTTTAAATTAAAATCTATATGTCGCAAAAAAACATTTGGTTGTGGTTGCAAATTATAATTGATTTTTTTAAATCGTTTTTTTTTTTGCTTTTAAATTTTTATATATTATTCTTAAAAAGTAATATTTTCTTTTTTTTAATTAAATTATGTTTATAGTTTGCAATATGATTTTATTTTATTTCAAATATTATCAGCAGTAAATATTAATATCGATGTTTGGACTTGATTTAAGCTAATACAATGTAACATAAATGAATACTTATCATCATTGTTATGTCTTCATTACTGCCTGAGATAAATGTTATGTAGTGTTGAAATAATTAAAAATTCATTTTCTTTTTAAAATATTCATTTTAATAAATTGAATAGAAGTAGTGCGATTTAGAATCCAAAGACCGGTTCCACTTGCTTTGATAGTGATTCCCCTTTGTTGTCTGCTGGCTCAGTTTTGTATTATAATTTGGGTCACGCCTGCAGTTTGGCGAGCGCGCCGGGGACGACAGAGGAGTTGAGAACACTCTGCATGAAGTTGCACTCGCTGCTGATTTAATGCACGACTGTTATGCAACTGCATGCACCGGCTCTCGGCCGTTGGCACAAAGAACAGCACTCCAACTCAACAAGTATGAAGTCCCGGCTACTTATGCAACAGCCCTGCGAGGGGTTGTGCAGAAAAGTACAGCCTTTTTACGGCTTCAAAGTCGGGACAGCAGATACGCTGCTCATATTCTAAAGTGGTTTTCGCGGAAGGGTTATTTTTGAAAAACGGATATGGAGCGCGAGAGACGCGTCGGCACTTTATTTTAGCGCAACAGAAGCCTCCTCTGTTGGTATAGGTTTTGAGATTAGATAATGCGAAAAGACGGAAAACGATGCCAAGAAAAAAAAATGTATAAAAAAGTCACTATGCAAGATAAAAAAAATTTAAGCTCGGCGTACTTAATTATTATCGCACATACATCATGAGCACGCATTTAAAGAAAATGAGTCAGGTTTTGGCTGATTTGCAAGTTGCAGAGACACCGCGTGATTTTCACAGCACCACTTTGTCGGTGGGTTGTAATTAATGCCGCCTTCCATTATAGACGATCACTCTTTCGGCTGCGCCTACTCTCTGCACTTTGGAGAGCTTTTTTGCCATTAGCACGCTCAACACAATAGGCGGAGGGAAAAATTTATTGCAAACAGTCGCACTGATGGATCATAAAACACCGCAAATGACGAAGGGCGTTCTGGCGAGCGAGCTCATTTGGTCATAATTAAAAGTACGCCGGCGGAACCGAAAAAGAGTTACGCGTGGCTGTAAATCAAAGCGAGTATGAGGAATGGCCGGCAATAAACATATCGCAGAGGGCAGGCCCTAATCAAGAGTCAATAAAGCAGCCGATTGGAAAGCTGTATAATAGTTGTTAATAATAATCTCTCAATTACAGCTGTGGGCAGCTTTGCAAATTTATGGTGTCAATTACAGAGAGAGAATAATTTTAAGATCTTTTTGATCCTCTTGAGGATTAAAAATTAATATCAGAGAACTTAGCTGCCGCCTTAAAAGAGTCACTCAGAGGGCACTGCAATGACGTCATTCGAGTCTAAGAGGGAGTTACCTGAAACAAAAAGTAATGAAAATTATAATTACATCGATTAAAAGCCAGCATTTAAATATTTTTTCGGACATTTCCTTCCGTTGCCATAAAATCTTGCGTTTTGCATGCAAGCCGGCGGATTTAATTCGCGCACCACCCTCGCCAAAAGACTATACGAACTGCAATTTGCAGCTAGCGAAAAAATAAATAATTCATTGCGCAAACCGCACGGGGGTAATTGCATTCGCGCGTTCGTGCTGCGCATTGGAATAAATATATGAACGGGCCGGATTCGGCAGCTGAGTTACTCTGTCACTTCCTCAATTACACACCATTTGGTCGCCACTGCCAGCTATGCTACCCCTATTTAGCGAATCTGCACGCAGCGATGTTCGGCAGTAATGACGCGAAACATTATATTCCAGCCGCTATTCTCGTGGTCTGTGGCTGGTGGCAGAACGAGAGAGAGAGGGTCTATGTGCTTTTGATAATCATGAAACCGAAAAGGTGAACGCACACGCAATGAGCACGGCCGCGTACGAATGTGCACAGTCACGGCTTTAAACGATGGGTCGAATCAATACCGGCTCTCAGCAGCCCATATTTATTCTTGCATCCGTTTTTTTTTTGGTGCAGATTCTCCAAGATAATGGTTAGTTGAATCAGGAATGTTATCAAGGCCAAAGAGGAAAATCTAAAGATAATCTTCAACAGTCGAGAATATTGTGTAATAATAATGAAAATAATTATAAATTTATTAGTTTATTTAATAGATTTAAATAATTCTCTCATGGTGATTGCTTTATTTGTCTATTTTGTTTATTGGTATGTTGAAAAGTTGGCCCATAACTCAAAAATCATAAATTTAAATTATTTATACAACTAGAATGATCGAGTAATACAATTTAACGAGGGAAAGCCGATTTTAAATTAAAAATCTCCATAGACTAATTGTAGATAATTTGAAATAAAATTTGACTTTTTCTTGATGCAATTCTTACTTGTTTTATGTTCATTTAAAAAACCTGATCACATCATTGACATCATGACCAACATGAATCAACACTCGATTGCGAGAAACTTCTATAAAAATAATATTCTTTGGGGGGGGGGGCGTGGCAAATGTTCTACTGAATATTGTTCTAGACTATTCGCAGCCTCAATAACTCATCATGACACAATTCCGCCGGACGTAATAATTCAGAGGTCAGCACATGCAGTTTTGCATTGAAATTTATAAAACTGAGATTAAATCTCAGAGGTATTCCCCATTTCCTAAAGTCATAATTTTCAAAGTCGTATACAATAGAAAAAAGCTTGACAAGTACGTCACTATAAAAGTAAAATTATATTTTCATGCCATTCATTCCATCAGTTCAACGTCGATCTGATGAACATGAATTCCGCGATGAAGAGCCTAACATTATGTGTGTTTTCAGCGCAGGTAAGAATTTTAATTTTTACACGGATTTAAAAAAAACACTGTACCTTAAGCGCCATTTTGCCTTAATTAAGGAGTTTCAATTATTAAAGTTTTGATATTCTGCAAGTAAAATAATATTTTTCTGCTGGCAGAGAATTGATTTTTAATTAAAAGTTCAAATTTTGGCAATAAACGTCTGATCACAAATACATGTTTTTCTTGGTCTCTCGCAAGGTTTCAGTAATGCATGAAAAATTCAGTCTCAAAATCTTTTAAAGAAGCTCAAAATCGTGAGCTGGTGGGTAAAAACTGTTTATTTTCCCTGAAAAATTAAATGTTGTATTTTGAAGAAAAATTGCAATTTTACCGGACATTAGTGTAAATATAAATTAAAGAAAAGTACAATAAAATCGTAATATAATTTTATGGGGCAAAAATGAGTTTTTAACAGAAATACAACAATTTAAAAATCTTTCTATTTTCAATTGAATTTAAAATGTTTTTTCCCCCGAAATATTATTATAGCTGGCTATGCTAGCTGTTACTGCATCTGTAACAAGTCAACAAGCCGCAAATATCCACGATGGGGCTATGTTTCCCGACGTAAAAAACACGAGAACTATCATTTGTAAATACAATATACAACATATCTTGCAAAAGCTCCTCGATTTTGAGCTGTAACAAAAAAAATCACCATACACGTCAACGGACTTATGATCTAAAATTTTCACCGACCAAACCTAATCTTCTTTCTTGCAACCTGGTGCACTGCTTAAAATTTTCTAAACAATTCTACCCAGATGAAGTTTGGCTTTGAAAAATCGAAAATTAACTCAATTTAATTTGGGTCGAGACATGAAACTAGCCCGTGACCGTTGACGCATGATGGATTTTGTTCAAGAAAATGGATATTTCATCAAAAAATTTTTAATAATATCAAACTAAATAATTTTTTGAAATAGCTCCTCAAATTGTTGGCGGCTCTTTGGCCACCCTTGGGCAGTTTCCATGGTACGGTTTACTCCGTGTTTACGATGGTGTAACTGGGGATAGTGCGGGGATGTGTGGAAGCTCACTGATTTCAAGCACATGGGCATTGACTGCTGGTCACTGCGTTCCGTGAGCTTATTCTTTGGAACTTGCTCATTATATAAATTAAATACCTATTTAAACTTTCACCAGTTGGGAAATTGCAACGAAGAAATTTGATCTTATTGTTGATTTTGGAACAATTGTGCATTATCCGACATCCACTGGATCGGCTACAAGGACGGTTACTCCTTACCGGCATGAGGAATTCGTATCATCCTCTGCTTATAATGACATAGCACTTTTGAAATTGGAATCAGCTGTCACCTTTACTGGTCAGCAAAATATTTAAAATTGAATGTTTCACCATAAATAACTCTAATGTATTTTGAAATTGGCAGACCATATCAAGGCGATTGCACTTCCATCAGCATCGGTATCTACTGATCCTGGAACAACTGTCACTGTCAGTGGCTTTGGTTGGGTATCAGATATCAGTATAAAAATAATCATCACAAATCCAATAATTATAATATAAATTTTCAAATTTCAAAATATAGCTCAGTTAACAAGTAACGACTTGAAGTATGCTACGATACTAATTATTCCTAACGAAAACTGCACCGCCGAGTACAAAAATGCAGATAAACCATTTGAGCCAGCAAATATGATTTGTGCCAGAGCACCTCTTAATGATCAAGCCCATTGCGAGGTAAGTAATTTTGGTGATATCAACTACTGTTTATGGGCTTAAAAAATATATATTTCAAATATTCCGATGCCGCAACCTTTTTTTAAATTAAACGAAATTGGGTTCAAGATTGAAAAACAAGGGATTAAATGAGCAATTAAGAGTGACACCCCAATGACCGGGTTTAGCCACATTGTGACCTATCCTAAATAAATTCTTCAGCACTGCATATTTTTATTTTATTTTTCATTTAAAAAATATCAAATTCGATTAATTATATTGATAAATTGAATTCACGTCCATAATAAGGAGAAACATTAATTCCCAATTGTAGTTTATCAAATGATACTGTCTAAACAAGAGGGTTCCTTGAAAAAATAATTATTTGAAACTCCAACAAAAAAAGATGAAAAATAAATTCCTTTGAATTAAAAAGATCTGCCGGTAATGAGATATTGTTAAATAAATGTAATTTGTGCATACATAAAAAATATATTTCAGAGTCACTTTTTAGAACGCTCAATGAAATAATTTTTTTTATCATCAGACTGCTTTTTATACAGAATTTTTTACAACCATCTGATATTATTTTATGCATAAATATATTTAAACCAAGCTTGCAATACATTATTAAAGGGAGACAGCGGTGGCGCATTAGTGTTAAATGCTGCATCAAGTAGTGCAACACAAATTGGCATTGTGTCTTATGCAGGAGTTACTTGCATTGGGACCTCATCCGTCTATACCAGAGTCACTTCATACACAACCTGGATTTCAAAGACAATGGCGCAAGGTAGAAACTTCGCATATATAAAAATGAATATTTAACAAGCTTTTGACACTTCATCAAAATAATTATCTTGATGGATGCTTGAAACAGTCGATAGAACCACGACAACTGCTAAAACCACCACCACCAAAAAGATCATCACTAAAAAGACGACTACTAAAAAGACCACGCCTACCAGAAGGCCATCCGTTCCTAAATGCTCTACAGGATATTATAAAGTAACAATCAGCAAATTATATTAAAAATTCCACAAAAAAATATTTCAAAAATTTAGTATATGAAGACATGTTGCTCGCCTGCACCAAAGGACCTGGTTCCATCCATCAGAGGATATAAAACTTGTGCAAACAGCAATGGATTTGTAGCATTCAATATTTTTGATCTGAACAATATTCAGGACGTGAAGACCAACATCATTGACATCAGCAATGCTCAAAAACTTTTAAAAGTTGTTTCAAAAGAGGGTGTATGTTTTTTTTTTGTCTTTTTAAAATTTAATTATTGATATATAACAAATTGTTTTGCTTTTCAGAGTTTTGTTTCTTGCTTCCTTAATGGAAATGGAGTGGTAAAGCCAAAAGCACATCTTTTTTTCGTTTTATTGAAATCTTGTTTCTTTTTAAATGTTTTACCTAAGTATGTGGCAGGAGAAATAGATACTGGTGCTTTGACAACACTACTGACAAAAAATCAAGATGTAAATGGTCCCTGGATTAACATAATTGCAGGGGCAGTATCAAACTGCACCGATATCATTTCTTGTAAATCGATTTTAATTTAATCGCAGTATATCTTAATCAGTATTCTGGCAAATTGATTATAGTGTACAGTATTCCATCCCAAGTCACCTACAATAAGGTTACTTTTGACGTTAGAGGTTACTTAATGGTGCAATGTGTGCTGTTCTCAACTATTGAAGTATAATCTGTGATTAAATATTTTTGAATTAACTAATTCAAATCCTCTTTCATCTCAGGCATGCCCAAAGCGAGGTAAGGAATTCTTTAAATAAAATTATTTTTATAAAATTTTATAAAATAATTTTTCCAAATATTATTGTTTTAAATTCAGTGACCGGAAGTTCGTGCTCAAAAGACTACACTCTCTTTGATAATTGCAAAGGTTACTTCTTTATGGCATAGAGAACGCAAATGGAGCAGTTGCATTGGAATGTCAAGATCAAGTGACTCTAATTGTGTATTTTTGATAAAATGAGCCAAAGGCAAACCATGGTAATTAATTTTGTTTTCAATTTTAGTATGAAGGCTGCGCGTGAATTATTATCTTTTATTTTATACATTCTTAATTATATTAAATAATCCTCAATCAGCAGAATTATTTATAGCAGCGCATATAATGCATATATTATAAAAAATATTCAAATATTTTGTCCAGAGCAACAAGCGAAGCTATAGTCAATCCAAATTTTTTTAATTTCGAGGCATAAAAACTTGAAACTTATAAATATGATGGAACAAAGTAAACAATTTTGATTCACTTTATTTCATGATACACAACCAAAATAAAAGGGAGAATTATTTTTTACTGAGTAATAATTTTCAAATTAGCATTATTCCTGCTGAATGCAAGACAGAAAATTAAATACAGCAAGTTGTGAAAACTCTTATTTATCCTCTCAACAGCTCAAGTGTCTGTTTTTGCACTACTGAAGCAGCGACGGTTGCTATACTTTGAAAGGCTAGGCGGGCGCCTGGTCATTTTGTTTTGGCCACTGCTACGCCATCAATCATTTCGCGCCGCTTATTTACTGAGAGTGAAATTTGAATATGTTTGTTTTCGCTCCCCATCGTCGGTTTCCCTCTCGTCTAATTGGCCAAGACCGCCAGGCAGCGACGCGATTATGACGCATGAATCATATTTTCATCCTCTTCTGATATCGAATAATTGCGTTTGGTCAGCTGCCCCGATCCATTTGCTAATGGATTGCTTTTCTATACAAGGACTTCGAGGAACAACAAACAGAAATAGGTTTCCACAGAAGATTAATTTGTTTCTATTATCGCTGGTGCATGTTGGAATTAATCCGATGCTATCAACTTTATGGAAAGAAAAAACTCAAAGAATCCTCAGCAGAATATCGAGCTGGGACGTGTTGATGTTTGCCAGTTTTACGATTTTGACCCGATTGTCTGCCAGAATGCGTGTTTTGACTGCAGCGGAACAGTAAAATTCAACTGCAGCAGAGAGAGCAGAGAATGCAAGAAGCAGATCGAGTGTCCACAAGCAAAGCCGCTTTTACACCTCAGAAACAAGCCGGATAATCTCAGTCGGTCGCGGGTTTATTTCGGATCGATTCACCAGCGCGAGTGAGATTTCCACTCAGGGCTGAGATGCACACAGCTGCAGTTTGTGCTGGTGAAAAAAGGCAGAGAGACTGGCTGGATTTGGCACGCTGCCCGCGCGAGTGCTGCAGCATCCGACTCGCCAAGCTGTACATTTATTCACTGATGTCGCCGCATGAAATTGTGTTTCTTGCGATATACTTGTATAAAAGTTAGTTGCTTCTTGGCTTTCAGCTCTGTTGCCACCAGTGTGAGGTCACTGCTGGGGTTAATTGCGGCTTAACCAGAGGAAATCAACTCAAAAGGGCCAATTGGGAGATCAAAGAGAAGGGATTTCATCACACAGAGGAAACCAGATTTTTATAAAATTTTAAAAATTATTTTTATTTTGACTAAATCACTAGGCAATCAACGTATGTATATTTTTGTACACAAATCAGCGAGATGAAAAGCAAATTTAAGTTAGTCTAGGGTGGAGTTTTACGAACCCCTCCCCGCTGATGCAGGATAAGGGTTTGATATCGGCCGAAGTTTAGAAGGGGCTTCATTAAATGACGCGTGCAGAGCTGGCAGTGTAATGCAGCCCGCATTGCAAACAAACACCGGAGAACGTTTATCAGTTCGGCTGCCGGGTGCAAAGAGCATGGCCAGCAACGCTGTTCCAAAATTTGTGTGTAATGAATGCTGACCTAGCAAACAGCAAATAAGGGCAACGAAAATGAAAGCATGTGGTTTATAAATAATATCTTGGTCCCATCAGTCCAGTATATTTAGAATGAAATGTGGTTTGTGGTATTACATTTTTTTACATATAAATATAATATTAAAGAAAAATCTTATTTTGAATTATAAAGTATTATAAAAATAAAAAAATAAAATATTAATGCCAAGCATTGCCGAGGAGTGGGGATTTTTGGCACCGCATGAAAAATGATTATTTTCACGGTGAATCGCGTCTGATTGAATGGCCTGTAATTAATAACTCAGCCGAGTCAGCCGGAATAAATGCCAACGAAATTCGATCAATCGATTATTACAACACAGAGCGGGTGTGAGCAGGCGAGAGTGATGAAAGGATAATAAATGGAAAAAGAAAGAAACCGCTTTTGCTCTGGCTCATGAATTATTATAGAAGATGAACTTCTTTGGAGCGGAATTCATCAAGTGAACAAAACATGGTCCGACTTTTGAGCTCTCGCTTTTATTTGATATCACTCTGGCTCATGCGTATATAAAGAAATTAAAGCGGTTTAGATTGTGTTAAATTGTTCACCCACAGTCTGATCTCGCCGACACAAAAGTCCGTATGTAAAAAGTGCCATTAAGACAGAGAGACCAAAATTATCATATCTAGACGAGGAGGAAAGGCTCCACACGGTCGTCGTCTTCTAATATATTCATGCGTGTGTGTGGCTAGGCTCATTCTATCATGTCCCGACCATAAAAGCCTCGCGTTTAATAAACCGACCGAGAGAGGAAATAATTTCGCAAAAATATTATATACCCGCCAAGGATCAAGGACGGGGCAATTACCAAGACGAACCCAGCACTTAGGAAATTAACTGTTGCCTGAATAATTAACTCGTGCACGATCTTTTACATATTTTTCTAGTTGAGAGAATATCTCATCTACCCCCTGCGAGGCCCCACCCACTCGTCCATACATAAGCCAGGCAATTTTTCTCCTAACCAAACGAGGAGCAATGAATCTATTTGTAACTAGCTGTCAATGCAATTGTGTTCCCCAGCATCCCACGAGAGCCAGAGAGGAGCTGAAAGATGACTTTTATCTCTCACGAACAGCCCGATCTCCCCCATAAAACACGTCCAGCCGATATTCACGGCAGAGACAATGATGCTCATCAGCAATAAATACGGGTTCTGACAATCACAACTGATCACGCTTTCCCACATCAATTTTCCTCGGAGTTTGGCGGGTTGTTGTAATTATACACGAAATTTTATAACCACGCATGAAGACGTTTTATATCTTATTATATCTCGCTGGAAAGAATATTTTCAGCTTTTGAAATTTGAGCCACACGCCACAGAGCGATGCAGCAAGACGTGATCAAATTTGTACTGCTCCAATTTTTTTTACTGGAATGAGGTGAAAATCTAAAAATATAAAATGAATCTCCTGCAGTTTCCATTTTCAGAGAATTTCCACGAAAGAATTAAAAAGGAGGAATGACTTTGCGTTAAGTTGAGATTTCCCATAGATTGTCTGCGTCACTTATTAAGGTTTTTATGCGGCCAAACGAGAAAAAATCTTTCAATTAAAGAAGCCTCACGCGAGCTTCGCGGCCAATTCCCTCTCATTAATTGACACTCGGACATGTTTGCGTCGAGTGTTTTGAAAGGCTCGATGAAAGAGGCGGCTTTTTTGTTCACGCTACCCGCGGCTACAGATTAATCGGAGAAATTCACGCCAAACTGCATGATGTGACCACATAAAAAAAAGCAAGTTCTTTCTAGAGACCGGCAGATCGCATCAATCAATGAATTGGCGAGAATAATTGGACACCGTGTTTAGTGCCTTATCGGATTTTGAAAAGCATGCGGAATTTTCATGTCCTGCGAGAGCGTCAAATCCTCAAAGGAAACTTCAAGGCAGGAATTTTAACAAGCGGGAGATCGCCAGAGAAGATATTAATTTTAACTTTGAATATATCAAAATAATATTTTACTATAGACCTATACAAATTATTTTCTGAAATTCCTTCTTTTGATTATTTTCTTGTATGCTTCTGACCTAAATTCCAGAATTGCATCTCCACAGGTGTATATGCATGCGGGGCAAGGCTAAAGCAACATTAAATCACGTTCTGCATGTTGCACCAACGCAAATACACAGAATAGGACTGTAAATATTTTCCCGTGCGGCCCCAACGTTTCTTTTCATCGGGGCCATTTCGAAGAAGAGAGGAAACCTCCCCACCTCATCAATCAGAGTTCAATTCCAGGCGTTAATTTCAGCGCAGTCGGTGATTAAAATAAAATGGCTTGTGCAGGCAGGGTGGTGTTCCGACAGCAGTTCCGAGGGCGTCATGGACGAGTGTCACTCACTCATCATGAGTATCATGACATTATACGCGTCGTATGTACATTTTGTGTGTTTTTATTCTTGGTGCAAGAGCATTCATGGGAATATTTTTGGACGCGACCGCGCGTGCACACGCCCTTTTATATACTCGCTTGGTGCACTATTTGTCCGGGAAAAATGAGTTGGATTTCCTATTGTTGATGCGTCCGTAGATGGTGTGGTGCATAAATGTGTGGTGCATAAATTTATTTGTTCATTTCCATATTGGATCGGGGATTGTTATTATTATAGACATCATAAGAGAAAGAAAAAATTTAATCTAATAGTGGGGCTCAAGATATCCTTGTTTTATAAAAATATTTAACAAAATTTTTATTTGTAAAATAAAGTATATTAATTGACACATTTGAAATTTTTCACAATATTTTGTTATTTACGTGTAATATATTTTGTTTTTTAGTTAATTCTTAATATGGAAAATAATAATGTAAAATGTAATGATGAATTTTTTTAAATTAAATTTTCTCTAAAACATAGCAATTAAATAATTTTGTGCATCATTAATCCCTTAATTAAGTATCTAATAATAACTGGACCAGGGGTTAGTTAGATTATATCTGAACAATTAAGCAGTTGAATTAATTTAAAGTAAAAATACATAAAATACAAAAGTAAATATAAAGTTATCATCAAAATGTTACATGCAAACTAAAAGAACAAATACTATGCGTTGGAATAAAATTTGTAATGAATGGGCCAAAGTCCTCGCCTCTTTCACACGCTCTGCAAGTGCATTTCGCACCAGCGGCGGGCACCGGAAAATCTCTCCAAATGCAAATACCACGCCGACAAACCCAGCCGTTTAAACACCCATTCG